CCAGTGGGTGGCACTGTTCGGGTAGGTTGAGGAGGCGTGGCCTTGCTGGAGGAAGTGTGTCACTGGAGGTGGACCTTGAGAGTTCAAAGCCTATGTGCCGCTTTCTGATTCGCTCTCTCTTTGTGCTTGCAGATCAAAGGGTGAGCTCCCAGCTTGCTGCTCAGGCCGCCATGCCTGTGGCTGGCTGTCACACCTCCCACCATGATGCACGGTTATTTCTCTGGAACGGTAGTCCCACAGAAAAGTAAAAATTACACAACCCAATGGAAACACAAATCAAACCATCATGCTGTGGTAGAGTGCTGGTCAGCACATACAGGGCCCTGGTTCTCCATTCCCAGCACGGAAAAGGGTAACTCATATATAGGACAAATATTACATGTTAATCAAAAATTATTTTAAGCCATCTAATCCTAGCGACTAAGGAAGCTGAGGCAGAAAGATGTCAAGTCCAAAGCCTGTCTAGGCCACTTAGTAAGACCTGATCGGAGTGTAAAAAAGAGACAGAGGAAATAGCCTAACAGCAGAATACTTGCCTTGCATGCACAAGGCCCTAGATTCAATCCCACTTCTGCCTAAATAAATAAAGCGAAAGCGTGTGTGCATCTATTTTTTATTTGTTTGTTTGTTTTTGAGACAAGGTTTCTTTGTGTGGCCTCAGACCAGCTATATAAAAGCCAGGATGTCCCCATGGGGCTCTACTGGACCAGGGGGACTTAGCCACACCGGGGAGATGGGAGTCAGGGGGGCAATTCAGTGGGGGCTGCAGAGCTTGAGCCACCATGAAGGGTGGGAATCTTGCCTCTCCCGGAATGTAGTGGGGCAGGGATGGATGGATGACCAGCATGGTGGAGAAGGCTTCTGTAACTGGAGCTGTGGAAGGAAGCCACAGAGGCTGCCCAGAAGTGCAACTTGACACCTATTGCTGCCCAGCTTACAGTCAAACACTACCAGGGTGCATGTTCCCCACTGGAAGTACTGATGGATGCTGCAGAGGCATTGCCCCAAAGGAGTTCTAGGGGCCTAATGCAGATCCAGGGTTAGTAACCATGAGCTTGCAGGATGACCCAGACTGAGGGGGAACAAGGGCAGGTGATGCCAGTCACGGAGTGACCTATACCTCCAGGGTGCCCCTGGGGTGCTTGTCATTGGGGCTCCATCTAGCCTTTTGGCCTGCAGATGGATGTCACAGCAGAGCTGCTAGCTCTGGGACTCTAAGGACCAGAGAGATGAGGGGGAGACGGGTAGGCCAGTAGCAAGGAAGCAACTCCTGCTACACTCCTGGGGAGAGGGGACAGTGAGAAGGGAGGGCAGAGAGAAAGCCACAGGGTGATGACCCTCCATGAGCGCTATGGCAGTAGGATTTGCTTGGCTTGTGTCTGTTTTGTTTTGTTTTCTTAAGATTTATTCTTTCTTATGTGGGTGCTTCACTTGCATGTGTGCATGTGCACTGTGTGTGTGTGTGTGTGTGTGTGTGTGTGTGTGTGTGTGTGTGTGTGTTGCCCACAGAGACCACAAGAGGGCATCGGATCCCCGGAAACTGGAGTTACAGATCATTGTGAGCTGCCATGTGGGTTCCTTAAGCACGAAGTCATCTTTGCAGCTCTCATGCTTATTGTTTTCCTCTCGAAAATTATTTGGGTCCAGCCCTAGTAATCCTTCCCAGGGCCAGAAGAGATGCTGCTCATGGTGGAGGCAACGTGCAGGAAAATAGTCTAAGTGCACTGGGTTGTTCTTCTGTCTATCCACTTTCTTTCTCGGAGGCAAAATTCTATCCACACAGCTGCAGTTCTATTCTCACACTCAGCTCCTCTGTCCCTTCTCTTCCTGTCCTCTCACAGCCCTAACTAAGCTCCTTTGCCTTCGATTTCATCTTCATCCTCAGTCCCTCCATCCATGCTCATCCCTCCATCCATGCTCGTTCCTTCCTTTCCTATTCTCCTGACCTGACCCCATCCACCTACCATCTCCAAAAACTATGCCTTGTTCTTTCCTCTCCAACCATGCAACTCTGCAACTCTGCTCAGAACTAGGAATACTGCCTCAATCCTCCTTCACCCAGGGTTGCAAAAAACCCTTTTGTCCTGAGTCAATTGCTCTGGAATGCCATTTGGCCTGAGAGAGGAAGGAGAGTCTGAGCTTCATTTGCACAAGAAACAAAGCTATACATCTACATATCCACCTGTCTCCTAGGAGACAGGTATTGTCTCTGTAAGGGTGTTACCTTAGTTCAGATCAGCAGTAGGTCTGAGAAACTTATACTATTTGCCTTTATGGCCTATGCGTTATAAGTGCACAAGAAACTGATAGCAGGAAATAGCTGATATATTAAAAGCCGAATAACACTAAATATTCCTTGATATATGGCTTCCTCCAGAAGGGTTCCTTGATCCTTCTAGGTATAGCTTTATTATATACAGCTGAATTCTTACTACCTTCCTGTAGCTCATAACATTTTCCTTTTTTAAAAAAATTTAGGGGCTGGAGAGATAGCTCAGAGGTTAAGAGCACTGACTGTTATTTCAGAGGTCCTGAGTTCAATTCCCAGCAACCACATGGTGGCTCACAACCATCTGTAATGAGATCTGGCGCCCTCTTCTGTATACATAATGAATAAATAAATCTTAAAAAAAAATTAGAATGTGTGTGTGTGTGTGTGTGTGTGTGTGTGTGTGTGTGTGTGTGTACTAGAGCACACGTGGTGTAGAGGAGGTCAGAGGACAACCTGTGAGAGTCAGTTCTCTCCTTCCACCATGTGAACCCTGGGAATCAAACTCAGGTCATCAGGCTTAGTAGCAGTTTGCTGTGGGATGTCCTGTATGCTGTAAATATATGTTGCTATGCTTGATTGATAAATAAAATGCTGATTGGCCAGTAACCAGGCAGGAAGGATAATATAGGCGGGACAAGGAGGAGGAGAATTCTGGGAGGTGGAAGGCTGAGGCAAGGAGACGGTGCCAGCCACCACCACAGCCACCACGATGAGGAGCTGGATGTAAAGTACCAGTAAGCCATGAGCCACGCGGCAAAGTATAGATTAATAGAAATGGGTTAATTTAAGATAGAAGAACTAGATAACAAGAAGCCTAAGCCATTAGGCCAAACAATTTAAATAATATAAGCATCTGTGTGTTTATTTTATAAGTGGGCTGTCGGACTGCCGGGGCTTGGCGGGAGCTGGAGAGAAACGCTCCAGCTACAACAGTTCCCTTTACCCTCTGAGCCATTTGCTGGCCCTCATGCCTGATTTTTGTTTGGTTTGGTTTTAAAATTTCAACCACAGCTTAAAACCAGGAGAATTTACATCAAAATATAACTTGCAAACATGTCTTAAAGGAGAATTCCCAGCCACTGAGGGCTATGTGCCACCACCCTAGCAGGCCACTGTGGTGGTATTGTGTTCCCCAAAATATTGTGTACCTTAATAAACTTATCTGGGGTCAGAGAACAGAAAAGCCACTAGTTAGGCAGTGATACCACACGCCTTTAATCCTAGCATTCCAGAGATAGAAATCCCTCTGGATCTCTGTGAGTTCAAGGTCACATTGGAAACAGCCAAGCATGGTGACACATGCCTTTAATCCCAGAAAGCGAGCCTTTAATCCCAGGGAGTGGTGGTAGAAAGCAGAAAGATATATAAGGCGTGAGGACCAGAAACTAGAAGCATTTTGGTTGGTTAAGCATGTGGCTGGTTAAGCTTCAGGCTTTTGAGCAGCAGTTCAGCTGAGAGCCATTGGGATGAGGACACAGAAGCTTCCAGTCTGAGGAAACAGGACCAGCTGAGGAACTGGCAAGCTGTGGCTTGTTCTGTCTCTCTGATCTACAAGCATTGACCCCAATAACTGGCCTCAGGTTTGATTTTATCAATAAGAACTTTTAAGATTCCTGCTACAGGCTACTTCCCCAGGTTCTGCCCACCACTCACAGTAAGAAAGTATTTCCTATTCCCAGCCAGAGCTGGTGGCCCAAGCACATGTGTGCCCAGACACCCACAATGCTGTCACCATGTGTGAACACTCAGCTGTGCTGGTGCTGTCCTTACCGTTCTTTTCTCCTGTGTAGTGCTGGGGATCGAACCCCGAGCCTCGCACATGCCAACCAAATGCTCCACCACTAAACTATGTCCTCAGTCCCCTACCCCATCTTTTGTTTAACTCCTTTGGACAGGGTTACCTCTAACTCTCAATCTTCCTGTCTCAGTGTCCCAAGTAGTTGGGACTACAGATCATCTCGACCCAGCCCAGTTTCCATACCATTGTTAATATATTGTCTGCTGCTCACCACCTGTAACTGTTCCAGACTGTTCCTAGAAAGAAGACCCATCTTGGGGGACACAGAGTCATGTTGGCCTGCCCACTCTGACCCTCGCTGTAGACCTTAGGCACATTCCCTCTGCTCCTAGGCCTTTGTTTCCCACATTTTCATAGTTGCCTCCTTGGCTAAAGCCTAACAGAGCTGAAATTCACACGAGCTCAAAGAAAAATGTATCTCCTTCAGCCTCACCCAAGACCACTCTAGACCTGCTGCCATCACACCCAAGGTGACCAGATAAGCAGGTAGGGTCCCCATCTGAGAAGGGGGCAGCAGGAGGGAGCAAGTGTGGGCAGGAGGAGAGGTGGGAACTGTCATAGAAAAGGCCAGCTAGCTGACCTGTGGATCTCACTCCACGCTCATCAGCTAGGCTGGGGACGCTGTGACATTCTGGCACTGATGCCAAATGTCAGTGTTTTACAAAAGGACGAGATGAAGAGGCTGAATAAGTTTTTTGTGCTATTTGATCATTTTTAATAATGCATATGTACTATTCTTATAATTAAACAGCCAAAAAAAACTTTATAAAATGTTTTTTTTTCTTTTTTCTGTTTTTGAGACAGGGTTTCTTTATGCAGTCTCAGCTGGTGGGACTCCCAATGTAGACCAGGCTGGCCTGGAACTCATAGAGATCTGCTTGCCTCTGCCTCCCCAGTGCTGGGATTAAAGGCATTCACCCTCAGACCTAGCTGGGCTTTTTTTTTTTATTTTGTTGGTTTGTTGTTCTTTTGTTTTTTAGTTGAAGAACACAGTGGAAGTGGGAATGAAATGTCATCTTTAGCCATAGTCGTGGGGTGGAGCTCTGAAGCCCCTGTGGCTGTGTCCAGTCTGTGGGCCACCATCCAGCCTTGGGTGACCTTGACCTGTACCCATCGCCTGCTGGGGTACATCCCCTTCCTTCCACGGCAAAGACTCAAGACCAACCATATCAGCATGATTATGTTAAGTTACAGAGTCACAGCAAAAGCCACTCCGGAGTGGCACCACTGCCCGGATGCCACCTGGAGGGATGGGCACCTCACGGGGCAAATGTGGTGAAGAAGATGTACATCTTGGCCAGGAAGGTAGTGACAGAGCCTTGCCGCCACAGCTTCATCTCTACATCCAGGGCAAAGTCCCGTGGCTCCAGGACAGACCTCTGCAGGGATACCACACCAGTGTAGGCATTGAGTCTGCTTGTGACAAAGTAGCCCTCCTCGTTGCCCTTGGTGATGGTCAGGGAGATGGTGTCCCCAGCGAAGGCGGGAGCAGGGCCGATGCGGAAGATGTGTGCGGGTACCAGTAGGCCAGTCTGGAAATTGAGCTGGTAATGTGTGATGCGAGCCGGCGAGGTCTGGCACTCCGTGATATCCTGGCATGTGGTGCGCTCACATTTCCTGTGAAAGAAGGATGCTTGGTCAGCGTCTGGGGACCCTCACTCCCATCTCAGAGATGGGACAGACCCCAGCAGTTGGCTCAGGAACTGGTAGACCAGAGATCAAGTGTGAGCTCTACCCATGGGAGTCCAGCCTCAAGTAAATCACTCAATCCTCTGGGCCTCAGTTTCCACAGCCGTGAGATGGTGTCCCAGGGGTGTGTGGTTGACAGTGACCGGCACAGGGTCCCAGTAGGACTTTTTTAAATCCATGTTTGTTCCTTCCTTTCTTCCCCTTCCCTCTTCCATCACCAGCCCTCCCACCCCACCCCTACCCCCGCCGCTGCCGCCGCCCAGGCTTCCTGATACCACCTCGGTGTTGCCTGCTGGCAGCCACACTCCACTCTTGCAGTGATGGGTGTTGTCACTTCAAGTTAAAGTCAGCTTAGTTCTGCAGCTCCCTCACCTGGTGGCCTGCACTAAGGAGGCCACAGCCCAGGCAGCCCTGGGAGAGGCTGAGGGGTGAGGCTCGGAGGCCTCAGTCTACAACCTGGTGAGTGCCTGGGGGATCCTGCAAATGCAGGCCAGCAGCCAGATGACCAGGCAGGGACAGGAACAGCTTGATGGGTGCTCAGGAGACCCCAACTGGAGTCCTCATGAAGCTGCACCATGAGGCTGCTCTGGCTGCAGGTCCCCAGAACCCCCAGGGAGGTAAAGAGTATCTATAATAAGGGATCAAATGCCAGGGAGTTGTTAACACGGTAGGTAATGCATGAGGTGTGTGTGTGTGTGTGTGTGTGTGTGTGTGTGTGTGTGTGTGTGTGTGTGTGTAGGGAGGTGAGGCTGTGAACTGAAGTTTCCAGCAAATACTATGTCTGTGTTAAAGATTCTACAAGGCTGATTAACTGATTGACTTCATAAAACTGTTTCCATGAACATACTCTTTGAGGCAACCTTAATTCATGTTTCTGGGCCATGGTCATTTATATCTGGCTCCAGATCAAACTTACTCCCTTTGAGGTGACAGCCCTCTTTTTGCATGGACAGTTCTCTATTTCTCTTCATAGTGCTTTATAGGAAAGGGTAGGAGGTGGCCATGGCGGGAACCACCTGCCATTCGGCCTGAGGCACAGAGGCAGCGAAGGGCCCTGGATCACACCAGGGCTGAAGGCACTCACATTTCCGAGACACGGACATAGTTTGGTGGGCACTCGAAGCGCAGGCAGCGGAAACTGCCCTGGATGTTGTAGCAGGTCTCAGCCTCAGAGCAGTTGTGGGTACCCAGTGCACACTCATCCAGGTCTGGGAGGGGAGAGTAGAGCTGTTAGGAGAGTCCTCGTGACAGAGGAACCCAGCCTGGATCACTCCCACCCACAGTGGAGGCCTGGGTCCCAGATAGCTGTGACCTAAGAGCACGGCTCACTGTAGCACCCCATCTCACTCACCCCCACACAACAGCAGTGGGGCCCGACCCTGCTTCTCAGGTTCTCAGAATAAAATTCAAGGTGCCCCCACTGCACATCAAGCCCAACCATAAACTGGGGTGCAGCCTGGTGCTGGGCTAACTCCAGCACCCACAGCCACCAACCTAAATGCAGAGCAATCTACCTGCCCTTCCCATGTCTAAGGCACTCTTCCCTTGAGACACACAGGGGCAGGAGAGCTAGTCACTGAGACCCACAGGTCCACTCACGACACAACAAGGCCACCCAGGCTCGAGTCCCAAGCCTCTCCTGAGGGGGAGTCAGGGCCTCTCCCATGGCCACCTTACCTTGCTGGCTTGGCTTGCCCAGAATTTTGTGGTCAATGACACTGACCTCAGAATCGTAGCTTAGAATCCAGCTCAGAGGGACAGTGAAAGTCGCAGGTCTGGTCCATCCCAGGACTGTCTCCTCTGAAGCAAACCTGACAGCTGCTAAAGCTGGGGCTTGCTGTGTCCCCGGTGACAGGAGCCACCTCCCCTATTTCCTGATGTGCACCGCTGTGGCGGGGACATCAACCTGCACTGGACTAGGGCTGACTTCCCTGTGACTTTTCCCTGCATCTGGCCTGTGGGCCACACGCTTTCCTGTCCCAACCTGACCCTGGACAGAGTATGGCAGAAACTGGAAGACAGTAGCTCAAGTCTCCGAGGCTCTGCTTCCAGTATACTCATAGACAGTCCCCTGTCTCCTCACACCAGGGCAGGGTACATATTCAAGGCCAAGCCTGGAAGATTCTATGTGGTGGTATTCTATTTGTACTGAAATGTGATTTTAATTGTATGTTAATAAATAAAGTTGCCTGGGGGTCAGAGCTATTAGAGCCATAGAAAGGGCGTGGCGGTGGTGGCGCACGCCTTTAGTCCCATAGATCTCTGTGTGTTCAGGGATACAGCCAACATTGGAGATATACGCCTTTAAGACCTGGAGGGCTGTACTTACAGGCAGTGACGAGGCAGTCATGTGTTTGGATTTACAACCAATGAGAAGGCAGAACAGAAAGACTATGTAAAGACATACACACAGGAAGTAGGTCTCTTTCAGCCAGGTAGGAGCACCGCAGGAGGAAGGGTAAGGTTTTAGCTCTGAGCTCTGACCTCTCGGCTTTCTCTTTTACATTGGTTCTGTGTTTCTTATTTAATACGACGGTTGGTTACATCTACAATTCTATGCTGGCATGAGTGGCATGAAGCCCATCACCTTCCTCTCCTCCCAGGTCTGGACGTGGAGACTATTGCCCTGAGCACAGCTGTTCTGAGCATGTGGGATTAGTGTTACTCTCCAAGCATGAGGCAGTTCACAGCACGCGGCACAAGCACAGAGGTGCCCAAGGCCTGGCAGAGTGGAGGCTGGCACAGAGCTGCCCAAGGCCTGGTGGAGTGGAGGCTGGCACAGAGGTGCCCAAGGCCTGGTGGAGTGGAGGCTGGCACAGAGCTGCCCAAGGCCTGGAGGAGTGGAGGCTGGCACTTACCCTTGCAGGACCTCCCATTGGCCATCATCGTGTAGCCCTGCTCTGGGCATGCACACTGGTAACTCCCGGGCACGTTGACACAGCGGAAGGTGCAGAGAATGCCAGCGCCCTGTGCACACTCGTCGATGTCTGCCAGAAAGGGTCAGCTGGTGAGCCTCGGCCATCCACAGGCATGGCCGGGAATCCCAGGGGCCCGTTGACAAGGGAAGACCAGAAGGCTCTAATGGTGGGTGTGAATTGCTCAAGGCCACACAGAAGATGGGGACTAGAACTGGAGCGTGTCTCACACAAGAGTGTGTGCTACTGATCATGATGGTATCAGCCAAGGCCGATTTAGGTGCCAGCCTGACTGGGGTGATGTCCTCCTGTTGAAATCAGGGTCATCATCTCACTTTACAGTAGAGGAACCTTAGGTCAGAGTGGAGAGACCCAAGGTCCCATGGCAGGAAAACTGTAGGCTGGGATATGAATTCAGAACCAACACTAAATTCTCTGGGATCCCAGCACATGGGAAAAAGGTCCCTTCTTCATGAGAGTCCTTGGAGAGGGCAGGTGCCCACCTGTGCAGCTATGCCCATCCTCTGCCAGCTGGTAGCCCTGGCGACAGTAGCACTGATAGGAGCCATAGATGTTGGCGCACTCCTGGCTGCAGCGCTGGTTCTCACACTCATTCATATCTGTGGGGACACAGTCTCCATCACGGTGGGTCCTCCCCGCCCACATACTGGGCTGGGCTGGCTCACCAGGATCCTTGCTTGGACAGACAGATATTTCTTTCAGGCCCCCTTTGAGGAGGGTGCGACCAGGCAAGCCATTCAGCAAGGGCAGGTCCTCTGGCCCCAGGACAAAGCCAAGGCAGAGCCTGGTGCTATCCTGCTGGAACAGATGACTCCAGTCACCTAGGCACAACATAGGCCACCAAGAGCGGGCACTGTGTGAGGGTGGGGGAGGGTGTAGGAGCTGGTGTGGGGGTGGGTGAATCAGGAGGGCTAGTTCAGGGCTTCCTCGGAGCATGTGGGTACACTGAATGTTTCAGATTAGACTGTGCCAGGCCTGCACTGGACTTGGGGAGACAGCCATGAACAAGGCAGACAAAATCTTCACCTGGAAAAGCTAGCTCACCCATGGAGAGAAGAGGGGAGGAGAAAGAATGGTAAGCCAGGCAATCAGCATGCCCAAGTATGTCAAGTGGCATGGGGGAAACATCAGAGAAATGGGAAGGGGCGTCTCATGGTCCTGTGGTGGGCTGCAGCCTTATATAAAGTGATCAGGGAGGATGTGATCAGAGGGGCAGGGCCATGTGACCATCTGGATTCTCCAGGTAGAGGGCACAGCATGTGCAAAGGCCCTGAGGCAGAAGCTTGTTGAGTGTTTTTAAGGAACATCCAGGAGGCACAGGTGGCTAGGGCAGAGGGCCTGGGGGGAATGTAAAAGCAGGCAAGCCATGCCTGACCATGTCTAATTCTTGAAACTCATGTCATTCACAAGAGATAAGCCATGTATCAATATGTGTGTCTAATTCTTAAAACTCATGTCATTCACAAAAGACAAACCATGTATGTATCAATGTGTGGCTTGTCCATTCTGCTGGGCTGAGCTTCTGGGAGGCAACTCATGCTCAGTTCACCTCCACATCTCCAGCACTCAGCAGAGGGGGCACAGAGGCGAATGTAGGAATTGTGCCTAGGCAAAAAGCTGGGGAGGTAGAAGCCCTGTCCGCTCCAAGTTGCCCACACCCAAGCTGATATGAGGCATGCCCACAGTATAATGTCCCCAGTGGGTAAGGGTGACTGCCCTCAGTGTCCTGCCACAGCTAAGCCCAGCCACACACAGCAGGGCCAAAGGACCGGGAGTCCCACCGAGGTCTCAGCAGATTTGTCCCACGTAGACGAGAGTGAGGAAGGCAGGCCTAAGAAAATGGGGCCAGAGATGCCATGGCCCCTCAGCTGAGGCCCGGCTTCTCACCGAGCTGCCTCATGACTTCCTTCCCCAGCAGACCTTGGCCAGCTGTGGACATCTGTGGGCATCTTTGGGAACAGTGTGCCATCACTGCCCCAGTTACAGGCCCATCACACTTGAGAAGACCTGAACCACAGGCACAGTCCGTGCCCACACTTGGTTTAGCTCAGTGTGTACTTCAAGGCTTCTGCCACCAGCAATGTGCAAGTAGCAGCTAATTTTACGTTCATACTGAAATTCCTGGTTTCTGAAAAGGCAGAAAAATGAGACTGCCCTGGACCTTCCTGCCTGGTGGCATCATCCATGGGAACCATGCGACCATTGCTCCCTCACAGCTCCTGAACTCTCATGGTTGCCCTGTGCCCCCTTGGCAGCAAACTCCCTGCGATCACAGTAGGAATCAAAGGCTGTCTGTCCAAGTGGGGGCCAGGTGCATGGGGTCGGAGGCCAGGGGTCAGAAGTCAGGGTGGGCAGTACCTTCACAATGCTTTCCGTCTGCGGCCAAAAGGAAGCCAGCGGCACAGGAGCAGCGGTAGGAGCCGGGTGTGTTCTCACAGGTGTGCTGGCACAGGCGCCCCGGTGAGACCCAGCATTCGTTCACATCTGTGGGGAGACCGCGAGCAGCAGCCACGGAGTGGGCAGCCAGCAGGGGAGTGGTCAGAAGCAGAGTTACCCAGAGTAAAGGGTGCAGAGGCAAGGAGGACAAGATTAGAAGCGGGCTAGAGCACAGAATCAGAGCCGGGGGGGGGGTAGGGGGGTAGGCGTAGCTTGAAAGCTGACATCCAGGAAGGTCCAGGCCAGAAAGCTGAAGGGGCACAGAGGGGCAGGCTCTTTGCTCCCAGGCGATCTCAGACCCCAGCATCTCTTACCGATGCAGGTCCTGCCAAATGCATCCCTCTGGAAGCCAGGCTTGCAGTCACAGCGGTAGGATCCAGGGAGGTTGTGGCACAGCTGGCCCTCGCCACAGCGGTGCACACCTGTTTCACACTCATTCACATCTGTGGGGCAGGCAAGCAGGGACACCCTGAGGTCTGGATGGTCCCTCCACAGGGCCTCTCTTGGGCAGAGAGCTAGATGAGGAGGCTTTGTGGATTCAGGGAGGCTCCAACCTTACCCACGCATTCGGAGCCATCCTCATTGGCATGGTAACCATGCCTGCAGTTCAGTGGGATCCTCTGGCATGTGTAGGAGCCCACTGTGTTGACGCAGCTGAATCCTGCGCGGCAGGGCTCCAGTAATGATGTGCATTCGTTGATGTCTGCAGGAGGGACAGGGTGATGGAAAGCCTGTCTCGCCCCTCCTAAAGCTCCAGCTCTGGGCTTTAGGCCTGGACCATCCCTCCCCTGAACCCTGGTACCCGAGAGTCCCACCCCTGGAAGCCAGAGCCACTGGGCTGACTATCATCTGTACACATCTGTCCAGTGGAATAGCTAAAGTAAGGGGAAGTCAAGGCTGCTCGGGGGTAACTAGAACGGCAGGGCCCGTGCACTTGCTTTTCCAACAGTGCCTACAGTACCAAGAAATCAGGGACCTGTCAGCTGCTCCTCCAGCTCTGCAGATCACACACACACACACACACACACACACACACACACACACACACACACACACGGCCCCACTACCTGCCACACACTGTCCCTAATGTTTTCTAGTGCTAGCTTGCTTCCTTCCTCAGGCCACTGCCCAGTGTCACCTCAGGGAGACCTTCCTGGCTGGTCATGGATTGTTTACTATTTATCAAATTATCCATGAATTGCTGATGTTTTTATGAACATGGCTGCCTATTTGGTCTCCTCCTCACTAAATAGTTCAGCAAATGCTCTGACTGCCCCCATCTAGGACCCTGGAACACAGCAGGTACCCAGGAAATGCTGCCCACCATGAACCACCCAGGAACTGTGTCGATATGTAAGAACCTCTCCTCCTTGCCACCTCTGGCCTGGAGCGGGGGTCCCAGGGCCCACAAGGGTCCCAAGGATCCCATGTGCCCTGGAGGATGGTGGTGGTGGACACTAAAGGCAACACTTTGACAACACTCAGGCCGGCAGGGAGAACCTCCAGAATCTTGGTGAAGCTTCAGACAGCAGATCCCCCTTTGCCATTCGGTCTCCTTGTGATACGCTCTTGTCACATGGACTGCCTGTCACCTGACCAGTCTTGCCTCTCTGTGTCACTGTCCCTTCTGCCACCCGTGTTCTGAACAGGAGCCAAGTCAGTAGCACAAGGGGTGACATCTCAGACCTTCTCAGGACAACGAGGCCAGCCTCCGTCACACTGGACGTCCCTACCCTAAGCATGGCGTGGAGCTGATCTAGAAGACCTCCGCAGCGGTCTTTGGCAGTGAAGGTACCTGTGGGTTTCACTTCAGGCAGGAACCCTACGGCACTGCATCACAGACAGTCCTTCCTGTCAGCGGGGTCAAAACCTGCGTTCTTCCCGTGTGGTCCCACAAGACGGTAAATGGAGGCCTTGAGAGACACAGCTCCCAGGCAAGCAGAGCAGCTACCATTTTGCGCATGCCCCACCCACCCACTCAATGGATGAAGACACTGAGGCTGGGAGAAGGGAGCAGCCAGTTAGATCCACCGGGCCTTTAAAGCCCCCAGGACCCCAGGAGCCACAGCCCACGGCCCACTTACCCACACAGTTGCCCTCAGGGTCCTGCAAGAAGCCGTCCATGCAGCGCTGCCGGGCCTGGCAGTAGAAGGAGCCTTTGGTGTTCTGGCACGAGAAGCCTGGCTGGCAGTTGTGTGTGCCTGTCACACACTCGTCCACGTCTGCCACACAGAGGTTGGACATCAGGGGTGGGTGGGAGGCGGGGGTGGGAGGCAGGTGGGCCCCAACCTCACATCCGGCAACCCAGCCACAGGTCCCCCATCTTCACACCACGGTAATCTCAGCAGTCACAGAGGTCTGCATCCCAGCAAGGTGGCGGGGATGAGACACTGGGGAGGCCCATGTCCCAGGAGTAAAAATGACTTAACCACATGCCCTGAGCTCCTCCATGCCCTGAGCTTCTTCACGGTCCCCCCCACCGCTATTCAAAGCATGTGAGGCGATTTGATTTATGTCATCCTCACAGCAACACCCAGAAGTAGATCCTGGAGCTAGCCCATCTTCCTGTGGGGGAAACTGAGGCACAGGCAAGCTTCCATTGCTACAGAATGTCAGGCAGTCTGGCTCCCTATCACTCATCACACCATACTCGTGAGAAGAGAGCAGAAGCATGCATGAGAGAGGAGCACAGGGGTTCACACCTGGGGCCCTTGCCACGGCCCTCCATCATGTCAGAGGCCTCTAGGCTTGCTGTTCCCTATGTCCAAAACGCCCTTCCAGGTAGACTCCCATCATCTGGGTCTCAACTACACTCTCCCTTTTATGGAAACCTTTATAGACCCACAGTAGAGACGCACCCTTCCACCTCCCATGGTCACTCTGCTATTTCTGTATTCCCCCATCCCCTACCACAAGGTCACAGAAAGGTCACCTCATACCAGTGCCGGTACCCAGAATCCCATCTGGTATTAAAAGAAGCTTGAGAAATACTTGTTAAGATACTTAGAAACAACAACAAAACTCTTCGAAAGGTAGACTTTTCCAGTGAAAGGAACATGAACAGTCTTCTGTGGGGCTCCATTTCAGTGTGCAAACAGGGGAACTGAGGCACAGTGTGGGGAAAGACTGGCATAGAGGCCAGCAGGTGGCAGGAAGGCCAGGGCCAGGTAGGTGCTGGCCTTGTCCCAACACCCATCCCTAACCTCAGACCCCTCTGCTCCAAACACCTCCATCCCAACGACAGGAAAGTCAAGTACGGGAATGTGGGGGGAGAGACGGTGGCGGGGTGGGGGTGGGGGCGTCCCTGGGGTGCAGAAGTGGGGCTGGACCTCAGCACTCTCTCACCTGTGCACTCGCCGTCTGTGAGCACATAGCCTGGCTCACAGGTGAGTGCCTTGTAGCACCGGAAGGAGCCCGGCGTGTTCACACAGTGCTCGTCCCTGGTGCACGTGTGCAGGTCCGTCACGCACTCGTTGATGTCTGTGTGGAGATCAAGGCGGCTGTCAAGGCCTGGGGGGTGGGGGGTGGGGCTCCAGGGACACAGGCCTAGCACAACCAGGCACCAGGAGGCAGAAGACACCAGGCTCTGACCTCAGGTACTCACCATGCAGGGAGAGGCTCGCAGCTGATGTCCCTTATCCAAGTATCCCTTCATTCAACCAAGATTTATCACACCCCTCTACGGGCCAAGCAGGGCTCTCAGCGAGAGGGGCGAGTGAGTGAACGAGACAGAAACACCTGACCTTGGAGTAGACGCTGGGAGATGCTGGCATAGGGAGTGAGGGTGTCAGGAGGGCTTTGGGGGCCACAGCAGGAGGAGGGTGGGCGGAGGTGTGGACGGGGCAAGCAAGTTTAAGGCAGGGACGAGGGGCACGGTCAGAAAGACGGCATCGAGTGAGAATGTGGAGGGGAGACAGCAGGAGCCACTCTGACAGTCCAGGCAGAAGGAACAGTTATATGACAGCCCAGGTGAGTTCGGGACCAGCCCAGAGGCAGGTGTGGCTGTAGGGGAGAGAAGAAAATGTGAGCGGAAGAGGTTAGGACAAGCAGAGATTGGGAGCCATAGAGGGTTCCTGGTATAGGAGCGAGGGCACCCTGGCTGGAGCTGGAGAACGGTTTAGGAGGAAATAATTATCCCTAGAGGGATGGTGGCAGGTACCGCCGGGCGTGGGGGAGGGCAGAAGCAGCAGGACCCACGGATGGCAGAGGCGGGGGTGAGAGAACCAGGAAGTCAGTACAGCTTTGGGTTGAGCAGTTCGATAGATGCCAGGCCCTGGGGTGGGCCAGCTGGCCGGAGCAGGGGTGCAGAGGAAGGTCTCAGAGTTCCCTGGGGGCTAAGAGACAGCTAGAGACCAACCTCTGGGCTCACTGAAGGAGTTGAGGGGAGTGGTCAGGTGGCGGAGGTCACTTGAGGGAATGGGTACATGAGGAAGCGGTCAAGGACAGACATTGGGACACTCTAGGAATGAGCAGCAGGGAGGAGGGAACAGTGAACTGAGGCAAAAGGAAGCAGAGGTCACCAACCCATAATTGCCTCCAGGCCAGGGCTAAGGTCCCGTGGAGGCTCTGCCCAGCCCTGCCTCTCCTGCCTGTACCTGGGAGATAATGGCACTAGGCACAGCCCAATCGCTCAGTGCCACACTGGCCAGTGCTTATTCTGTGCCATGTTCCTGTGGCCACACAGTGGGTCAGCACCGCCCCTGACCTTCATGAGTGGCCAGCTGAGCAGCTGGATCAAGACAGGCAGAAGGAGACACATCCGGGTGAGGAGTGTGAGGTGCCCGGGGCTGAGACTGTGAGCCCTGGTCCTGCAGTGCCAGCTGCTTCTCGGGGTGGTAGCATTTGAGTTGAATCTATGAGATAACTAGGGGACCAGGTAGGAAAGTGGGGTAGGGGGAGAGACCCTTCCAGGAGAGGAGTGGGGACAGGGAAGTGACAGTTCTGGTTAGCCACCACAAAGACTTCTGATTTACAGCTGGACCGGCACAGGGATCCGGGAGTTTCCCACAGCCAGGAGGCCTCACCGTATTGAATGATAACAGCCACCACACACAAGGGATCACCAGAGGGTCAGGAAGTGACAAGAACTGATGAGACTCACTGCCTTGTGATCCAGGGGTGGCCATTTCACGGACGGGGAAATCTCTCTCCCCAAAGGGATGCCCCTGGACTGAGTTACGCAGCCAGCAGGGACAGAAGCCAGGGCACTTGGTCCAAGCTACACCCTTTCCTCACGGCTTGCTTCCCACTGCCAGGGAGGCCCCAGAGCTAAGTCTGCGACGCCTCAGCCACCCGCAGTCCAGCCCAGCGGGGAACCTTAAGAGTCAAGCACAGGGGGGACCGAGCAGAGGCCACACCCACTCCTGTCCCCAGCTTCCACGCCTCAGTGGCTCAGGAACCCTGCCAGAGCTCCTCACAGGAACTAATGCCCCTGACCTCCACGGTGACCTTCAGAGGCAGGCACCATCATCTACCTGTTTCATGGGAGGTAGGGGGTGGGAACTAAGGCTCAGAGGGGTTAGCGGCCTCCAGCGAAAGCACACTTCATCCTAGCATGATCCCGCCCCTCCCTTGCCTGAGTTACTGCACCTGAGTGGAGCAGTTGGGGAACCCCCAAGCCCCCAAGCAATATTTGCATGGAACAGGAGGGGAGGGGAGGCTGGTAGTTTATGCAGAGTACAGAGGGAAGACATAGAGCATGCCCATAAATCTTGCTGAATGGAATGTAACTTGGCTTTCTTATCCTCGGGCCCATCTTCCAGCTGCTCAAGACCCTGCAGCACAGGTCTTAGCGGCCGAGCCAGGGAGTGGCAGGTCGGGGGACATCCTGGGAAGGGGCTCACATGCCTCCCAATGGGCACACACAGACCCAGCCCACCCAGGAGGGGCTGCCACCACCGGCAAGCACGTCGGGAGGGCCATGTTGTACCACGGCTGCAGCCAGGCAAACATGTCGGCCTGCGCTGCTGCCCAGCAGTGCAAAGGAGTTAGAGGACATGTCCAGGCTGGACATGGTCCCCAAGCACAGGCAAGACAGACAGGACTCGGGTCGCAAGCCCGGAGCACTCTCCGCCCGGTTCCCACCTCCACACCTTTGTCTCGGCTGTCTCCCTGGCTTGATGCTTTTCCCCATCTCCACATCCTGCCCATTCTTGGAAACAGGTGGAGATGCCTCCTCCTCTGGGTACCACTGGCAAGAGTGACATTTCCCTTTGCCCGTGTCCCTGCCGTAGCATTGGCTGGTCTTCCTGACTTCCCCACTACTCAGGGTTATCTCTGAGATGCCCAAAGTCAGGGCTTTATTTCCTTAGTGAGAATACCAGATGACCCAGACACAAGACAGCGTGGAGCCCTTCCTTTCCCACAGAACCCCAGAGTCCCAACCAATCAGGCATAGGTAGACAAGAGGCCCAGGTATTGCGGGCTGACACAGGGCCCACACCCTCCTGCCCACTGAGGGAAGACTCAGAGGAAAAGTGCCACCTGCTCAGGGTCACACAACAAACGGATGCTGAACTGGGTCATCTGGACACAGTACAACCCATTCCCCTTTGGGGAGATTCCAGATAAATCTATGGGCAATCTAAATGACTGAGGTGACAGGCTACATGACCCAGGCTGCGTGCACACTGCTCATGTCCCACAATCCTCATAGGTGTCAACAGCTTCCAATAGCTGAGAAAAGACAAGGTCCAGAGCTACTAGGGTCCTGTTTCCAGCCCAGGCCTCTCCACCTCCACACTGCTGCACAGTCCTGGTACCCACATCTGTCCTCCCTGTCCCTGACACACCAGGGAGCTATCTCATCAGCTTTCTATGTCATGGGCATAATCTGGGAACATAGCCACCGAGAACAAGCGGGACAAGACACCGGGACACGAGGGTGTGACACGGAGCGCAGCAGGCCGCTGTGTGGGAGCTCACATGCAAAGGACGGGTCCTTTAGCATGTGGCATGGTGTGGTGGGCTGGCGTGGGGCAGAGCAGACAGCCGTGGCACAGGCGGCAGGCAGGGGCTCCAGCTTACCCACACACTTCCTATGTGCGTTGAGGATATAGCCCTCTGCACAGATCACTGTGTGGTTGACACAGTAGAAGGATCCCAGAGTGTTCACACAGAACTGTTGCCAGCTACAATCGTGAGTGCCCATCAAGCACTCGTCTTGGTCTAATGACAGCCACGGAAGGAAAAACAGAAGGCTGTTAGAGAGGCATGCCTGCCAGGGGCATCCAGAGACAGAGAGAGAGAGAGAAAAAAAAAACGAAAACGAAAAACCAATGTGTGCCTGTCAGTGTGATGGCTGAACCTCGGGACGCAAGCTGAGTTTGTAAGACTCAAAGATGTTAGAGCCGGCTCCCACCGCCCAGTAAGGGGCAGATGGAGTAAGACTCGGAGAGGGCAAGCAACCAGCCCACATTCACACCACAGGCAGCAGGCTGCCCCCAACCCACTCTCTGTCATGTCCAAGTCTGCAGCCACCAAGGAATTAGCAACAGAAGAACCTGCAAGTTCAAAGGCTTTTTGGGGTCAGGGCCAGCAGCATTCACAGAAGGAGGTGGGGACCTCCAGAGGCTGCCAGGCTAGGGGCTATGCAGAAGGGTCTCCATGGGCAGGTTTCTGAAGTTTCATCAGAAACTCAAATTTGGAAATGTTTTAAAAAATTCTCAGGCTGTCCCAGCAGGGAATTCCTGCGATTGTTTCTGAGAACAGAGTAGGGCAGGCCTCCTCCTGCGTGGGAGCTGGACACACCCTCACAGATGCTCCTTTGCAACCTCTGGCTTCTACCCCTCAGCTCTTCTGCTGGAGTGCTCCCGGAGAGAAGGGGCACGTGGGAGAACGTGAACACCAGCCAAGCCACATGGCCAGCAGAGGCAGCATACTGGGCACCCCGGTCCCAGGTCCCTGGTGGGGATCGGATCTGAAGACTTCTGAACCAAGATAACCTTCTCAGTTCCCAGAGCCCTGGGGAGACTCAGAGCCCAAAGAACACAGTATCCTCTGGGCCTGTCGTCTCCATCACCAGAGAAGAAGGTCGGTCAGTTGCCACCATGCTATTGCCTTAGCTACCTTCTCTAGACTGACAGGATGGTGTCACTCATACACAAACTGCCTCTCCAGAATGATTGGATGTGGGATGAGCTGAGCTTCATAAAGGCATGTGGTCATCCTCTTGGACAGCTTGATCATCATATGCAGACATTCAGACTATGTCTCCTGAGCCTGAGCCCATACAAGCCTGGACTTGTAGCTCTCTATGCCTCCTCTGTCCAGATAGGAGGGGTAAGATCCTGGGACGTCTCAAGCCGGTTCAGAAAAAACTCACTGAGGAAGCCAACCAGCAAGTGTCAGAACTACTGTTCCCACTGTACACTGTGTGCTGGGAGGTCCTAGTCTACAATGGCCCCACCGAGACAGGAGCTCACCTTCGCCGGTCACTGGGGTGAAGTGATTTTGTGACCATCACTCTTCATGTGCTTGTGAATGGCAGAGGAAGCTCACTGTCACCAATGTTAACTCTCCCTCCATGACTGAGGCCCTTCTCCCCACTTCAGGCATGCGGGGTGGGGGTGGGGGGGACGTGAGGCCACTTCTGGATGTGCCCCTGACACAGTGACACATGGCTCCCTTCTCTCTCTCTCCACCTTGGCCTTGAGCATGGATGAACTCAGAGATCAGAAAGCAAGCTCAGCCACGCAGACCAGGCCAGCCCCCAGGGAGCAGTGAGGTGAGTATGGCCCGTGTCTGGCATGGGTCTTGGTTAGAACACAAGTTCTGACCTTTCCCAGGGCCCCTAAGCAGGACGTCTGGGGAGCCTGTAGAGTTCCTGGGAAGCTGTGTCCAGCGGGACTCCAGGTGACATGGGAACAAGTTCAGTTCTGAGAAGAACTCCTCTAGAAAGCAGCAGAGCAACCAGACAGGAGCGGGGACCTTGGACCTTTCCGGCACCACAGTAGGCCCATACCACCAAGGGCTCAGTGATACCAGAGGGGACCATCTACACTGCTCTGCTGGGGTTCTCTGTCACAACAGCTGAACCTCATGATCAGAGTGAGTCTGAAGTCCTCCTGGTCGCCCCTACCCTAAGCCCTCACCACAGGACAACCTGACCTGCAAAAGTTAGAGGGTGACCCCAAGGTACTCACCTTCACAGGACAGGCCATCCGCCATGATGGCGTAGCCAGGGAAGCAGGAGCACATGGCTGTGCCTCCAACAACACGGCACACCTGCTGGCAGGGTCCATTGTCTGAGGGGAAATTCCTGCCGTCAGAACACATAAGCCTGGCCCCCGACCCTACTGCCCATCCCCCAGCTCTGCGATGTGGGCGGGGGGTCTCCACTGCAGGCCCAGCGAGGCAGAGGTGTGGAAAGATGACAACCCCGTGCCCGTGCCTTTTCACAGGGTCCCCAGGAGGTGGTTCCAGTCCCAGCTGGCACTGGGAACAGTATTTCGAGTTTCTCCCACACACCACTCAAACGCCAAGCCATTCCTTGAGTACTAGGAAGGCAGGAAGGGAGGACTTCCCAGCATTCCTGAATGAAAACTTGGCTTTCTAGGAGGAATGGGACAGAGCAGATGACCCACTTGACCAGGGTCACACAGAGACCCAGAATCCCCTGATGTCGCCTCTTCCTCCTCCATCATCACCATGCAGCTTCCACCCCTTCCACGAAGCAGAGGCACCCGGTGGCCTGGACCAGCTTGCAAACACCCAGCCCCAGAGCCCACCACACCACATGGCCCAGACGTGTACAGCTCAGGCCCTGCAGAGAGTACACCCCTCCACTCACCTTTGCAGGTGTTGGGCTGTGGCACAGGCAGGGGGATGGTGTTGGGGGACACTTGGGCAGACTCAGACCTCCCCAGGGCAGACTCAGACCTCCTCAGGGCAGACTCAGCCCTCCTCGGGGCAGACTCAGACCTCCTCGGGGCAGACTCAGCCCTCCTCGGGGCAGACTCAGACCTCCTCGGGGCAGACTCAGCCCTCCTCGGGGCAGACTCAGACCTCCTCGGGGCAGACTCCCTTGCGGCGGCGTCCAACCGTGGCGCGCCTCCATCTGTTGTTGTAAGCAGAGCATACAGCAGGGGGCAGGCTTACATCTTCTGTCTGGCCTTGGACACTCACAGGCACCCACACTGGGCATTGACTGATGACCTCACTGACCACTCCTCTTGCCCATTCACAAAGGAGGAAACTGAGGTTCTGGGTACAAGCACACCTTGGGCAAGAGCGATCTCACAGCTACTAGGAGAAGGCAAAAGTGGGAAGAAAGAAGTGGGGGTGTCTAGACTAAAAGGCAGCTCCACCCCGTACAGCTGGCAGGGAGAACGCCATGATGCTAGGAACACAACTAGGGCCTGGTGAGGGTCTCTAAAGCCTGAGGCCAGCTTCAGGCAGTCTTCAGAATCCCCAGAGCTAGAAGCCTCCTCTGGCTTCTGCCAGCATCAACCCAGGGGGCAGCAGGAAGCCTAGCCAGGCCACCCTCCACGGGCAAGACAAGCCTGTGCCTGGGCTGCCTACAGCTCACCTGGGCGGCAGGTACGGCCGTCACCCTGCAGCTCGAATCCAGGGAAGCAGGCACAGCGGTAGGAGCCCACGGTATTGATGCAAAGATGCTGGCAAAGTTCCCCGGGGAGCAGCAGGCACTCGTCCTGGTCATCTCCGGGCAGGCTATTGGGCAGTTCAGCCTCTGTGCCCAGTGACAGGGCCTCCCGGCTTGCCATCTCCGCCTCTGAAACTGGGGTGGTTGGTCAGCACTGGGGACATAGCCAGCTTGGCCACTGTGTGGCTGAGCCCATGGGATCCAGGAAAGCAACAGAGGTTCAACAGATGGGGATGGAGGAGTGAAGGAGGGAGAAAGGGATGGATGGATGGTTAGGTGGATGGGGGATGGATGAATGAATGAATGAATGAATGATAGTGAACCTATGGTAGCGGGTCTGAGCCTTCATCACCTGGGTCTCTTCAATAGGACAGGACCATGCCTAATGGTGGCTCTTGTTAAAGTGCTGAACTAGAGTCATAGAAAGAGTGCTGGCCTAGGTTGAGACAGATCAGGATGTGACGTCTGTCTGCAGCTTCCTTAGCTGGGCCAGCACTGGGTCTCTTCGTGCCTCCAGATTCTGGGACCCACGGCCTACTCTGCAGAGGGTAGCAGGGGAGAGGAAGAGGAGGCTGCTCTGCTGGGCAGCTCTCCCCTGGTCTGATACCTCAGCCCTTGCCATCCACCTCAGGCAACAAGAGAACAGAATGGTGGCATGAAGCTGCAGCTAAGGGCTTGACATAGGGAAGGTGTCTGCATTGAGCTCCATCCTGAGAAGGCCTGGCCTGGTGCCCACAGCTGTCCTTGAGGACCTGGAACTGTGACTGGGCAGAGGCAGACCAAGGCCCAGGGTCCCTGAGCACACCAGCATGTACCTCCATGGGCCAGGCCCTGCTCATTGCCAACTGCATGCCCTTCCTAACCATCCTCCCAGCAGAACAGGGAGGGGATATGCCTGAGGCCATTTCAAACAGGACTTGAAGCAGAACAGTCTGCTCCCACCACCAGCATCTCCCAGACCCAAGAAAGACTCCAGAAGCTCCTCACAGGAAGGGGATATTATGATATCATGTGGATGGTTAAGTTGGATGGATAGACCCTGCCTGGCCAAGTTGTCCACCTGGTCCTATATCCTGTTCTGACCTCTGATTCTGGGTTTCTTCCTGAACTCTACCTTGAACCATTGTCTGGGTAGTAACTTGTTCTTCAGAAATTATTGTTTTTAACTAGCACCTTAGATGAGCTGGTGGATGGATGGGTGAGTGAATGGATGGGCAAGTAGATGGACAGATGAATGGAAAGATGAATGAAAACAAATGAGTGGGTGGGTAGGTGAAAGAATAAGTGAATGAGTGTGAGGGTGAATGAGTGGGGAGGTAGATAATGAATAGATTTGGGAAGTAATGAGGAAGTGGAACAATGAATGATGGACAGGCAAGTGAATGGATAAGAAGTGGATGGATGGATGGATGGATGGATGGATGGATGGATGGATGGATGGAGGGATGGATGGATGGACAGACTGATGGACAAGTGACTGGGTGGAGAAATAGATACGCAGATCTGCATGGTGGAATGGGGAAACAGTGGAAGGCTGTGGTTATGGCCAGAGCAGCCAGGATGATGAGGAGAGGGTAGAAGGGCAGATGGTCACTGGTGACTGGTGAGTGGCACAGAGAACTATGTGGGACTGCCACACCAGCACAAACTGGGTTAGAGTCCAGTCAGTAGCCGCAGAACTCTATAGAGCAGAGATCAAACCTCAAACCACATACAGCCATGGACCAGGGTCCCCACTGCGGCCTGAGGCCACCCAGCCCAACCATCCTAAGGACCCTAACCGTCCTCCTCCAACTGCCTCCACCTGGGAGGGCAGCACCCACCTCTACGCGGGGTGGCCTCAGGCTCTGGCGGCCGACGGACCTCAGGCACTATGAGGGGGTCTTCGCCTTCACAGCAGGAGAGCATGACATGGTTGCAGGGATAGCCCAGGTTGGGGTTGGATTCGCACGACTGGCCCTCGGCCCGCACACGGAGTCCCAGGCCACAGCAGTCACAGCATTGCTGAGGAAGACAGAGCATCAGCACCAAGCCCTCAGAGCCTGCCTGATTTCCCACGGTCTGTGTGCCTGTGACTCATCCAAGGTCTGTGGGCATGGCCTGGGGCAGGCTCTGGGGTGAATTAACATTATCTAGATCCTCTGTCTGCCTGTGTGCTCTCCCAGGGTGGAGGGCGGCCCACCCCTACATCCCAAGTCTAGAGAAGCGTAGGACTAATGTTAATTTTCTTTAATGAATGAATAAATGTCCCTTTGGAAAGAACTACAAATGAAGCCCAGCCCTGCTCACTATGCCCCACCCTGAGAAGCGGACTCCAATCCCGTCAGCTCAGCAAAAAGGGCCCATACAGTCCCGGTGACATCCTAAAGTGCTCGAGACAGGGTCAACTTGGAAGTGTACCCGTCTCGTGTGCTGGAGCTCCTGATGTCATGCCAGGTCATGAAGGGACCTGAAGCTAACACTCGACAATGACAATTCAACAAAAAGACAGAGGTTGCATCCCTAAGGATACGCAGAGCCACCCAGTGCAGACTGCCAGCCGCCACAGGGAAATCTGATTTACATCGTCAAACTGTGGCAACAGGCTGCGTGCAGCAACAGCTCCAGCTGACCAGCCTCCCTGGTACCCAGTCTGTGGCTGGAGAGCTCAGCAACTCAGAGAGTGAGCATGTGTCTCCAGCTTGGGGTGACCAATCACTTGCTTTGGTCACTAGGGTTAGATAAAAGTGACCATGTGCCCACTTTGAACCCAGGCTTCTAAAGGTCTTGCATGTCATTCTAGTGTGAGTTTGGCATATGCCTACTCCAGGGCCCAGGAAGGGTCTAGTGGCAGGTCTTAGGTCACTGAGGACATGCCCTTGAAGGGGACTTGGGGACACCAGTCTCTTCCCTCTTATGTGAGCAACTGCCTCTACCAGGCACACCATGCCATGCCACCTCACCACAGCCCCAAAGGCATCAGGGCTAACTAGACGAACTGAACCCAAACCTTTCACTCTCATAAGGGGGTGATCTCGGGCGCGTCACAGTGAGGAAAGCTGAGCAACACATGCTTTCAATCTTTCTTAGAGCTCGATATGAACCAGGCCCAGCCAGCCCACTGTGGGAGAGAATGTTCCATTCAGGGAACAGAGACAGCCAGTTAAGCTGTGGGCCACCTACATCATCTGGCTCCAGAGCAGCCACCAGCCAATGACAGCCACACAAGCCCAGCTGAACCTTTTCTGATGCCAAGCCAGCCACAAGCACAGCTGTGGTGAGTGACACCCCAGTCCTTCATCTGATGCTGCCGTGCCCACTGCCGGAGACCACATGACCTCAAGCTCCAGGTGCGGGCCCTGGGCCTTGCCTGCCCTAGGATGGGCAATTCCTTGCCTCCATTTTACGCCTGGGGAAACTGAGGCTGAGAGAGAATGTATTGAGAGGCATGGGGTAAAGGTAACGGCAGAAGCAGGACTCCACACCTGCCTGCAGCAGCAAGAGCCTCTTCTACTACCTGGCCTGCCTGCCTCCAGCCTCCAGCACACACATGCAAGGAAAACCAGCTTCTAGGACCTTGTATTGCTTGCAGCCACACTGATCCTAGGGCCACTGTGCACCCCAGCACGACCTCCACCCGCACACCTCTTCAGGCACCACCTTCAGGCACACCACACCCTGCCACACTCAACCAGACCTGCCTCAGAGAGGGCACGATGTCACCTGGGTTGTTGGGGGAGTTCAATGCATCCTTTGTGGATTTGTTGACGAATGCCATGACTTAACATTTCCTGGGCAGGGGGTGAGTCTACCTCCCACCCCACCCCCAGGATGTGGTGTCACCCATCTCACCCACAGTTGCGGGGCGGGGGGGGGGACTTGCCTTGTACAGGGAGACGCCACAGGTATCGTTGTCCTCGGCTCCACAGGCTTCACCTTCCTTGGCCCCCACAATGCCAGCCATGCAGCTCTTCTCCTTCAAGTAGGAGACACAGCAGTGCCTCTGGGCTATCCTGAAACAGGGGGCGGCTTCAGGGCCTGTCTCCTCGGGACCCTCCCCAGGAGGGTGATGTTCCCCCACCTCACAGGAGGGAGATGGGGCGGAGTGTAGAAAAGGGAAGGTCCGACCCGAGGTCTGCAGCAAGTGGGACCAGTACAGGCAGAAGGGCAGGCACAACCCCACCATGTCACATGGGTTTGATGTGGGCCTGGGACCCACTGGCCTCAGAGCTGTGCCCTTGACCTCTGAAGAAAGGAGTTGGCATTCAGAGTTCCACTATCAATCCAGAGAAAGTTAGAGAGACCCAACCTCAGAAAGGACAGGGTAGATATGGTGGGGAGAGTGGTGCCTACATAGTGCTACTCTGTCTCAGAATTAGAAGAGGCTTAGAAGGAGGCAGAGGCAGAGTGAGCTGGACGTTAGAAAATATGGCTTCTAATCCTGGCCATACCACAGGTGAGTTGCACTGCCTCTCTGGACTTGACTCTCCTTTTGAAAACTGAGCAGGCTGCCAAAGATGAGAAAGGAAGGTAACAGCCGACCAATCCTGGCAGGGGAGGCAGAGCATGCGCATCGGAGCCGCATCACAGGTGGCAGAGGAGGATAAAGAGCAGCCACGCTCTGGGCCATTTTGGGTGGCTGAGCTGGGGGAGGGGGAGCCCCAGCGACCCCAAGGTGATGATGATCCTTTGAACTTGCTCTAAGTTGCACACCATTGCATTTACCCACGGAGACAGCCACAGATTCCTGTGGCCAGCTGACTCACTGCATTCACTTTTGGTCACCTTCACACACCTGGGGCCCAGGGAAGGCAAGAGCAGTTCTGCCCACCCCAGGCCACTCACCTGCAGACATCGCTGTCAGCGCCATTCTCGGGGATCTCCTGGCACTCATCGTTGTCAATGGCCCACTGCTGGCCAGCTGCGCAGCATGTCTCAATCAGGTCTTTGGTGGATCCTGTGGGTTGCAAGGAGGAGGTGTGGCTGGGTTTGGGGGCCACCAAGTGCAGTACATGACTGCAGGCACTGGGCAAGGGAACCTCTTACCCCAACCCCCACCCACCCCCTGCCCTGCATGTCCAGCCCTTCCCTTCTAAGGAAGCACTGGGGAGACTTGGTCCTCCTGCAGGGTGGGTATAACAATGGGTAGCCAGCGACTGGCTCCAAGGGCATGTGTGTGTGTGTGTGTGTGTGTGTGTGTGTGTGTGTACTTTGGGGGGTGCTCACTCCAGAGCCCACAGGATCAGACCGCACAGGCAGCAGCTGACCCGTGAGTGATTGGCTAGTCCCTTCCCCATCCCCTAGACTGTTCTGCCAAGACATGTCCCTAAATGAATCATTACAGACATGAGAAGCCCTGACTGGGCTTCTGCTTCTGAGGAGCCTGACCTGAGTGGCCCAGATGGAGCAGGAGACAAGAAAAGAGCTTCAGGGGGCTTGTGGGATTCCATTAAGAGCTATCTTAAGCTGCTTTTTTAAAAATTGTAAAGATGAAGTCTAACTAATAAAAATTAATACTATTATTATAACACAATGACCCATACCAAAATTGATGTATTCAAATAGTGGTTATTATTAATAATAGGAAATTTAGCAGAAAAAATGCTATTTAAAAGAGAAACCCAGGGCTGGAGAGATGGCTCAATGGTTAAGAACACTTCCAGAGGACCCAGGTTCAATTCCCAGCACCCACATGGCAGCTCACAACTGTTTGTAACTTCAGTTTCATGGGACCTGACACCCATGGCAAAACACCAATGCATATAAAATAAAAATAAATAATTTTTTTAAAAAATTTAAAAAGATAAAAGAGAAATCCAGAAATAAATCAGCAGTAAGAATTTTGTCCAACAAGAAGGGAATCTCTCTGTCTCTCTGCCTTTCTCTCTTTTCTTCTTTTATGTGTTACTGCATGTGTGTATGTGCACCACATGAGTGCAGAGCCCATGAAGGCCACAAGAGGGCATCATATCCCCTGGAACTGGAGTTATAGGTGGTCTTAAACTGCTATGTGGGTGCTGGGAACTGAACCTGAGTTCTCTGCTAAATCAGCAAGTGCTTTTAACCACTTATTTGAAACACATACCATGTATGCATACTTGAGTAGAGGGTCTATGGACTCAAGATGTGAACACTCCTGTATGTGAGCTACAACTTTAATACAGTTATAATCAAGGACCCAATCTGTTTATGGGGTTTGTCAAGGTGATCCTGAAATTCACGTAACTATCCAGGCCTGGTGGAACCAGCCTGTAATCCACTACTCAGAAGGTCTTGCAGCAGGATTGTAGTTCAAGATCAGCATGGGCAACTTTCTGAGACTGTCTCAAAATGAAAACATAAAAACAAAGAGGAGCAGGGGTATGGCTCTCAACCAGGCTGACTCGCTTTTCCCTTTTCAGGGATCAGATTTCCTCAGAGAATGTCCCTTGACCTTTGTGTACCCCAACCCCACTACATCACCCCACTCAGCCTCCATTTACCAAAGTGACTATATAAAAGTATACAAGTCAGGCAAGGAGGTGCATGCTTGTAAACCAAGCATTCTGGAAGCTGAGGCAGGAGGATTACAAATTTATGGAGCCTGGACTCCATAAAGACACACACACACACACACACACACACACACACACACACACACACACTTACATACACACACAAAGTGTACAATGTGTGTGTGTGTGGCAGAGATGACCCATTGGGTGAGGACCCAGCCTTTAAGACATAATGAGCCTTGGGTGGGGCATTTCATATCCAAATTCTAACACTTGATCTTCCTTCTACAGGCTGGAATCTTCCCTCCCTAAGGCTTTTCTAAGAAAGCCTTGTGGGATAACCAGATTGCACCAGATCCCGGGGTCCTGGCCAGGCAACACATGATGGATGCCTTAAGAGATAACAGTGACAGCCGCGACGTGCTGAGTGCCAGCAACAAGCCAGGCGTGGGGCCAAACCCTCCAGCTGTTGTTACTCCCTCTGCCCGGAGGAAGTGGAGGGCTAGACAGCCCAGCCTCACTTCCTCTCTTCCCCTTCCCTTCCAGGGAACATGAGCAACTTGACCCAGCCAGTCCTGAAAGACCTGTGAACCCAGCCTCCAGCAGGCCAAGGGGCCACCTCCACATGGACTCGGTGGTCTTCTCTTCTAGTTTCTTGGTCTCGGACCAGATTTTAGCCTGCACTTGGTAGACTTCCACTATTGCCCCGGCTTTTCCCACCCCAGCTTTCTCACTTCAAAGGCATCTGGGGCTGTGACCTCATGCTGGAAGGTCAACCCATTTGGTGCATACAGAGGACTGGATCTAATGTGGACTCAACATCTAAGATATAGGGGGCAAGGTCACAGTGAGGACTCCACCCCACAGTTCCCAAGATGGTCCTGAGGCAGCTCCCACAGGCCTGGCTCCTTCCCTGACCTCAGACACCTCAGCCTCACTCTCTGGGAATTTCTTAACCTCTCTGGCTTCTGGCCCCTCCTCTTCCTCACACTCTGACTCCAGTGACGCCCTCTGATCTATGGGCTTCCTATGTCACCTTGCTTAGGCCCCTACTACACTTCTGGCCTAGTCATAGGAATTTGCACCCCACCAGCAGTAGACTTGCTTCAGGCTGCCCCTGGCTCCCCAAGGCTGGGATGTTTGCCTCCTTCTGATGCCTCAGCTGCTGCCTCACAGAACCTTCTTGTGTCAGTGAAGTCCCTGTGTGTTCTGAGGACTCTAGATCAAATCCACACCCCCCCAGGACCACCTCCAAAGCACACACAGCCCACCTGTCTCCTCACTCTGCCTCACCTCCTGACCCTCCGCTTCTCCAGTCACTTCCAGGATGGTACCCAGGTGACTGTCCACACATCAGAATCAGATGAGGACGCCTCCATGACTGTGAAGTCCCATTCTGCCTCCTCTGGATTGGCTGGGCCTCCCTATTCCTCCCAAGGACAACTGGGGCTTCCTCACCTCCTGGTGAACAGTGGTATGGCCTGGCTCTGGCCTGGCTCTGGACCACTCTGCTGTGGTCTTTGGAGTATCGGGCTTCAGGGTCCTACCAGCCAGTGAATACGATTGCTCCCTGACCCACCTACTCAGCCAAACCCCTGGATGGCACAGAGAGAGATTTGGAAAACCTGCTCTGCCACCTGCTGAAAGGGAAGATGTGCAAACCCATTTTGCAGAGATTTTGTTATTAGGAAAATAAGAAATAGATGCCCGAGGGTCCCAGGCCACTGAACAGCCCATGCTAGAAATCTCCAGAGACATGGTTCCTGTGCTGCAACAAGCCGCCAATGATGACCAAAGCCATCACGTGACATGTTCCTATCCCACAAGCATGACATGGGGAAGAGACAAAAACAGGAATGGATACGGTAACAGGACTAGAAAAATCCCATAGTGAAGACGGAGGCCTAAGACTTACAAAAGATAGAGCAGCAATCCAGACGAAAAGACTAGAGACAGCACGTGTTTCCACCCAGAGTCAAAGACAGAAAGCAGTGTGCTGGGCACTGGGGGCTGGGCCTTAGCATTTGACAGGGACAGAGTTTCAGAAGATGGGAGATCTCACTCCAGTGTGACTTCATTTAATTCTGTTCAGCTGCACACTCGATACTTGTAAATTTCATCTTATTTTTTTTTAAATGCATTGCAATACAATATAAAGAACTGTGAGCTGGAACTTCCCTTTCCAGGAATCTCATATGCTGACAGACACCAACCACCATGAACCCAGACAGGAGGGTCCCAGATGCATGATGCATTTGTGACAGCGAAGATTCCAGAAATACCTAGCAATCAGAGATGAAATAGTGAAGCTGCTCCCAGCCAATCACACACAGGTGTTAAGGAGCCAGAGGCAGGTGTGTGCACGAAATGAGATCATTCCTGAACGTATTTCAGTCAGAGTTCAGGAGCTGTATAAAGTGACGTTCGTCTTTTAAAAGGATTACACAGATAGGCACCAGGCATCTGAGCTGAGACCCAAGTCCCAGCAACAGATGGTGTCTTGGGAAGGAGCCTAGCTTTCTGTATATTGCAGGCAGGTATTAGCCATTCCAGAACTCTTCCCTTGTAAATAGATGCAGAGATTCCAGAGACTATAACCTCCTTTGATCACAGAACAATGGATGTCCCAAACAATCCAGCCCAGACATCAAGACCTCCTAGACAGTCCCCTTTCCCTGACATAAAAGCCCTGAAGGATTCTGGCTTTGAAAATGCTGCAGAGCATTTTCTCTCCTGGCAGGGGGGTAGCAGTGGGAGTCTCCACAGGGCCCTGCTCAACAGGATGTTTGCTTTGAGGGCTTCAGCACACAGCTCAGAGAATGACACAGTATTGTGGGTCCCACCAGCCTTGAGGGACATGGTGACATTTCCTGTACAACCTAGGGTGAGCCTTTCTGGGCCACCCAGGAGCCTTGAGCATTGTTATGGAGCCTGTGAAGTAGACACACCAGAAAAGGTCCTGACCTCAGCTCTGCCTTCTGCCCCAGGTTCACAGGACTGGGCAGAGAAGTGATGGGGACCCAGAAGGAGCTGCTGGGATGGGGGTTCCACCTAAGCCCACCCAGCCTTGCTTCTCTATGTCTGGCTCCCTGCCCCCTTGTTCTTCCCAGCCCTATTAGCACACACATGCCATGGACCCCTGCCTCCTGTCAGGCTGGCTCTGCCTCAAGCCTGGCTGGTCCCGCTGTGTGCTGACCTGAGCCTGAGTCCAGAAGTGACTGCCGAATTGCAGCCTGCACTTGTGGCATCTTTCCTTGGCTCTCAGTGGAGGGCTCTGCCACTGTTACGGATAGCTAGACAAAGGCCTGACCTATTGTATGCCACACACACACTCATAGGCAAATGAGAACAGAAAGGGCCAGCCACAAGGAAAGGTCCCCAGCACCACAATTCTCATGAATGTGACTTAAAACCAAGAGGAGATGCTGTTCTACTCTGGGGTCAAAGATGGCTGTCTCTGGGA